TCGTATCACGTGCATTTTGCAGTCTAATTATAGTATTTTACGCTAGAATGAATCAACTATATGCAAATGTTTCTCTTTGTTTTTTTTCATTCAGGCTTGCCGTTTCTCGCTCTAACAAAGAATCCACGAACCGAAACGAATGTCATTGAATCTACAGTTCTTTTTATACCTGAATTCTATTTACCGTATCGATCTCTATAATCGGTCTTACAAATGTCTCTCACATATTTCGCAACACTCAATGTTACTGTGTGTTTTGTGAAAGGAAACATCGAAAAAACGATTTTTGTGTTCGGCCTGAATAGATATAAAATTTTGACCTCGAATACACTGTGTGAATGTATATGCATATATAATCGTTACTCTACGTTGTGCATCAAAGAGATTTTATTGTTTCTTATGTGTTCATGTGTTATGTTAACAGATTGTGAAAACCTCGTTTGGATACGTTTCTCTTTTACGAGCTCTCATCTAACGCGGTACAAAGACTGTATTACAAACTAAAAATAGTGCGATCATCGTTCTCACGTGGTAGAATATTAGAAATAAATGTTTTAAATCAACAATACAATACTGTGTTCATTCATGATTTATGTGAGAAACCATAGGACATAGAAATTTAACATAAGCAAATTTTTACTGAATACAGGTAATTTACATTGACTGAACAGGTGAATTACTCTGTTTTTAGGAATTAACAGATTAAGAATTCTAGATTGAAGAATTCACTTTTCGTAATTTCATGCTAAATGGATGCTAATCAGATGATAAAGAAACATAACGTTTCTTTATAAACACTTGTTTTGTTGCAAAATCTATTATTAATACTAATGTAAAGAATTTTGTCTCCATTATTTTATCTCTCATCAGGTGCATGAACTGTCCTCATCAGAATGCAGAATGCAATAAAAAATCAATAAAATCAATGAAACTATAAACTATGTGCATATATCATTTGTAATATTCTGTATTCGTATTATATCATAAATTACACATATTAATATATCGCACTATACGACATGGAATATGTTAATAAATATATATAAATATATATATTAATATATTTAAATTAAATTGAATATAGCAACATTTGTTAAATAATACTGAGAATATATATGAATAATATTTGGAATATATATAAATTAAATTGAATATATCAACATTTGTTAAATAATACTGAGTCAATGACTATTCTTCAACAACTTGTGTTTCACATTGAGCACATTTTCTATGTTTTTCCATAATAATGAATGCTTTAATAATGGCTGTACGATATGAAAAAACTATCTACAAAGTTAATTACAAAATAACAAGCATAATCTTTAAAACAATAATTACGTCTGGAGAAACCATTAAACGTGTCTGTTAAAGATAAATCAATCTGCAATATTGAAAAAAATGTTATGAAATATCCTCGTACGACACGAAACAAAAGAAGAAAGAGAAAATAAAATGAGTACAATGAATCATTTCGATCAAGACTCTAGTAATGTATCTAGAAGAAAAGAAACGTAATTGCGATTGTTAATAGAAAATTGCTGGTGAAATGTCAGACCTAAGATAATAATTGAATGAAATTGTAATCAAGCACGTGGCCGTCGTGCATCAATTATCGCATGAAATTACCGATTTATCGATTGCACGTAAGAAACAACGTCGTATTACAACTCAATTAAATAATCATGAAACGATCAGGAAACATAATTTTACATCGTTCTTCTTTTTATCAACTTCACTTAGAAGAATGAAAAACTTCAAGTTTCCAATTCGTGACTCTCAAAAAAAAAAGGTAAATTCCCAAATGTTTCGCATCTTATTAGTGTTTGTAACTTTGGTTTTTTTTTTATTCAAAAAATAGTAGAGGTCTACTGTATCGACAGTAGTATACATTAAAAATGGATTTTAAGTCCATCATTTCATTTCATATTTTATTTCTAAATTTTTACAACAGGCGTCGTATATTTTAAATTTTCCTGTGGCATCACGCAAATTATTCCCAAATCTCTACGTGCAGATGAATTTCCACGTGGTTCCGCTCATTCTTAATTAACGTAATTAGAGCTTCACGATTTTAAGTCAAAATTCCCAAAGTTCCCAAATTTCCGAATCAAATCTTCATATCTTGAAATTTTCACGCAATTTCAAGCACTATCCGCTTCACAGCCAAATTTATCTTCTAAATCATAGATTTTCACGTAGTTGCACGCATTCTTAATTGCACAATGAAATTTCCACGTGCAAACCTAATCAAATGCGATACTAAACATCAATTATTTATTTATATTTTCATCGAGCCATCTATCAAGCATATCGCTCACGATTCTAATTCTCAATTAACATAAATGTATCATCAATTGTATCTGTTAACCGAATTAATTAATCCACGTTTAATATATTTAATATATTTTTTAGACGAGAGTGGCACACGCAGAGTGAGACACGCATGGATCGCGCGAGATACGAGATGCGTCGTCAAGAAGTTAATTGAAATTTTATCAGGCTCGATTGCAAGTCAGATTTACGACATTTATTTCCAGCTCAGCTCGTGTCAACGCACTTTTCCTGGAGACGAATGTCTGGGCAAACAATTCGCGAGACTTTCACCGATTTTTCGACCGACATTCTGTCGCAGGCAGGCAGAATTTACATGTTTGGCAAACAAACGATAAAAGATATCGATCATGAAATTGTATTGCTACCTTCTTGTTCTCTTATCGACGAGTTCCATGCGCTGATTACATGGTTGAACATATCTTCATACAATTACGAATAGAATCTCACGTGTTATATTACCTGAATTGAGGAGCAACTTTCTCTTGGTTAGGATAATTTTGTGAAGAAAACGTAATATATTGCAGTTGATGAGACAATATTGGCACGGAAAAGGAGCGAAAAATTTATTAATAAATTGAAAATGTTTTGAAATCGAAACTGTTCACATCTCAAGAGATAGATATAGCTTTTTTTTTTAAACAGAGACAAATTATTAATTATATCTATGTATCATGAAATTTCGTACGTAAAATTTATCATTCATTACTCTACATTTTTACTCGCAAATTTTTCCTCAATCTGAGACATTTAATTTTTTTCAACGTCAGTTGACAAATGAATTTCAGAATGGAACTAATCGATTCTGATTGTATCTCTTGCCATGAAGAGTCTAAGAACACGTCTAAGTGTTATAAGGTCTCTCCGCTCGAAAGGCAGTTACAGTCTTGCGACAGAGAAAATTAGTAGCCGGCTGGTAAAAGTCGACGGACGAATCGTTCACGTAAAACTGATAGATAGCCGTCATTTGATAATCGTCAAATTGCAAAAATCACAGCTACTACGAACCAAGAAGTACCAATCGATGAGAAATCGCAGTTGTCGTGACTTCCAACTTTCAAAGGAGCAAGAAATATGATGATCGAACAAGGGAAGAACAATTTTGCACCTTTTGTAAGATTTTCTAGAAAGGCGTGGAGAAAGATTAGAAAAAAATTTGTCGAACATAGAAACTGAAATGTGCAGTGACAGAAAAGTATGCAAAGATGAAAAAATACGAAAACTTTGCAATTTTGGAATTATTGTATAATTGATAAGAATAATAAGAAAATATGCAGTGATTCAAAAAAATTAATCAACCAAACTTTGTTTTCTAATTTTGAAACACATCAAAGGACCACTTCAATGAACGTAATTTATACAAAACATGATTTATTTTTCATATCATAATTTGCTCCAAATTTAAAATCTGAGTACATACGATCAATTTTTTTTGTCACTATACATGTATATTCAGTATAGATCATCAAGTCGTAAATGTCATAAAAAGTTATTAATACTTATAAAAATTGCAAATCTATACACATATTAATTATTACAAATATTAATTTTCAATTTTCTGATGTCTTTCTGCATTGTAAAGTTAATAATGTTTCTAAAGACTTTTAAAACAACGTGATCGTACATATTTATTATTATAATACTGTGAGTATGTTTATTACAGTTCACTGATGCCTACAGCAAAATGTTAAATTTGTACAATAGAATAAGATGATATGTTACGTAAGAGTAAAGTGAGAATTAAATGCTATCAATTTGACCTTAATTAAAAAGATTGGCTGAATGTATATAAGTAGATACATACTTTCACTAATGGAGAATTGGTTTGTTGGAAACCTAAAAAATTACGTTGCCTTCGTCTAAACTATTGTTTTTGTTTACTTCATACAGACTATATAAATATATAAATAAAATATAAATAAATATGATAATTCATTTAAAACACATTGATCTGATAAAATAGATAAGTCAATTCAGTAATATCTAATAGTATTACAGATTTCAAGAGACTGATATATCAACCTGAGAGATTAGATATATTTTCTTCATATCTAATAAAAGTGTAATTAATTTACTATTACACCACTTACTATTAAATGGAATGTACACTTTTATATCTTGATGGTACTTGAAAGTACCGTCTATATGAATACTTATATGATTTAATGCAACAACAATTCCTCGCTATATTGAAAAAGACATGTTAACTAAACAATTGTGAATTAGAAGAGATCATTAGAGAATTGTTTAAACGTTTTTACATTGTGTGGTATTGTCTTATTGTCTTATTTTTTCTGATTTACTATCTTAAAGTTATAGTAGAGCCTCTCTCATGTGAATCTCTATCTTTCGAATATCTTAATATTCAAATATTATATTGTTAAAACAAAATGTTTATTGGTAATTAGAAACTTACTTGCTATTAGCAAACATTCGAAATTCCCCTTTAACACTAGAATTACCAAAGTCGTCAAAAATGACCAATTTATAATTTCTGTTAGATACTTTATAGCAGTAAAACAGCGTATTTTTAAAGATTTAGACAATTTTTCGTAAATTATAGAAATAAAGGTGCTCCATTGTAATATGAAGTTTCTTCATTTTTTTGATTTCAATGTCTCTTTAATTGTCGGTAATTTTAGTGTTAAATTCCCCTTTGAATGTCATGAGTTTGATGAAATTTTATCCCGATTGATAGAAAAAAATAACGTAAATAAATAACTGCAGTGAAAATTTTCCAAATGCAACTATGAACAACAAGTTTTTATAAGATCAACTACGTTAATATCTCGAAATATTTATAGGATGCAAACATCACGTAATGTTATTCTTCTTTTAACATATTGAATGAGCATTGATAGGTTTAAATTCATAATGTGAAATTCCTGTGAAATGAATAAGGCATTAACATGCAAAACGCTAACAGATATGAACTATCGGCACAAAATAATCAGAATCACTAAATCATTCTCGTGGCATAATTGCTCCTATTGGCCTCGTTTTACATTCAACGCTTTTTGCACAAATATAGATAGCCTTAGAAATTTAAATTTCCGTCGTTCACAAAATATAAATTCATTGTTACAAAAAATTCAGTCTATTAACACTGAGAATTACCAAAGTATTCAAAACGACAAATTTATAATTTTTCTTTTTTTTTAGAAATTTTATAGATTCGGGACAGTGTATTTTTAGAGATTTAAACGATTTTTCGTATTAGAAAGTTTTTTTTCTGTTTCTTTTGCTTTGATATTTCCAACAATGATTTTACTCTCGATACTCATAGTAAGCGTTGACATAAAATTATTGACGCACTGGATTTACCACGTTGTTTAGGAAATTTATGCGAATCATTTAGGTTAGTTGGCTCACTATTTTCGATTGATTTAACTAACTCAACACTATTCCCATCGACTTCAACAATCAAAGAAATCGAATATCTCTCTGACCGTTCATCTTTTCTCTCTTTAATCTGACTCAACTGTTGTCAACAGATGAGCTGCGAAAATCCAAGAGAATCCGAGCCACGCATCTCTCCGATAAACTCTTCGTCTAACGTTATTATGACTTAAACAGGTATCGAACGTTGCTAATTCGCACAGGAAAAATCGTATAGTTTAATACGTAACAATTGTCGAGACAATCATAGAAACAAACACAGTCCTCACCGTAAAACTAGGGTTCGGTGTCACCACGGAGTGTATTCAATAAGTGAGTAAGCTGCCAAATTGTTTCGGGGCACTTCGCGTCATCCGAATTTTTCCGCGTAATCACAATTGTGTAATGACGTTTTACCAACTGAGGAAGGAGTAAAAGGTTGAAACCATTATATATACCGCGGCCGTGTAACGACTAGCGTGTGGAGTATTGATCAAAGTAATACGTTTACTTTCCTGTTATCGTTCGAAATATTATCTGATTTCGTCTCTCCCTTCAACGCACGGCGAGTGGCCATTTACCACTACCATTGCGCATGTGCTTCCTTCGGCGAGCTATTTTCCTGCTGGGCTTTTGAGTCACGAATTACTATGTCGAAAGTATTCCCCTTGTATTATTCAAGGCAACGAACTGCCAACTGGAGGAACACGTTTCTTGGGAGAAAGTCAATCGAACAAAGTGTTCGCAACTTTGTTCTAGCACTGAGCGAGCGGATCTTGTTACGCTATCTGTGAACAGAAAATGAAATTATGAACGTAAGGAACGAACAGAGGACGGTGATTGCAAATGTAAAGCGGTTCTTATGACTTTAGGTAGATTCTCTACTTACTTTCAGTCATTTTTCTTCATGCTCCATTAGCACTATAATGAGCTGTATTGGAGTCGTTGTGATCGCGTTGGTATAATTTCCCACACGATGATAAATTGTCGACGTTTCCAGTTATTATAATTTTGTTTTAAAAAAAAAAAAATCATAAATTCACACAATGAATTTTAGTTGTGACAGGGAGACTTCAATCTTTGACCATTAGCAGTCTTTATGAAGAATTTTTTTCGTAAAGAGACGTGTGAATTTTCAAGAGAGAAAATATCTTCACTTACCTCCTCTCATAATCTTTGAAAGAAACGAAAATTATAGACACTTTAAACTGCTATAATTTCATAAAAAACAAATCGAACAATCAAAAGTGCATTTTGGAATATGAAGTTTTTACTTTTACAATATTGAGTTCATTTCTTCCAAAGATGTTCTCACATCATTTTAAATCAAAATACTTGTTTTCTCGAAAATTTTGCAAATTCATACGTCTTTGCGAAAAAAAATTTTTCCTCAGCTAAATCAACCAAACTCTCCCCTTTATACCTATCTCTTAAAATTTGTTGTACGATTTGTTTGAAGCAAAATTATAATAGTTAAATATAGTTAAGGCAATTTTTCACTACATATTAAGACTTTCCGAAATCATTGCAGATAAGATATAAAAGATATAATACGTACATGTGGACGAATGGTTGTAAATTACATGATAAAAGGTAGCATGAAGTTCACTCAATTTCACACAGTCAACACGAAGCATTTTTTTCGTAACGACCTTCATTATAAAAAAAGTTTATTATTCATAGCTGAGGTGACGTGTGGTACATACATGAGGTTTCCGACTACAACAAGTCCTATGATTTCACGCAAATACTATGTACAGACATGGGTCATGTTGTAATATTAATATCTAATATTAATAAACATAAGTCAACTTACACAGTTAAAAATTATTACTCATTACGCTATAGTCTAAAGATATTAATGTTTGAAAGATTCACTCTCGCGCAAATCTTACACAATTTTTAATTGTCACGTGTTGCCTTTTAGTACGCGTTCTGTAGTGCAGTACGGACAGTTTTCTATTAACAGCGTGTTCTCGCGGTTTCCTCTCATTATTGAAAGATTCGTTCAACCTTTCACCCATAACAAATGTCCAGTCACTGAGGAAGGAACAATATTACTTTTTCTTTCTCTCATCGGGTACACTTATAACGCTTAAAAACTCCCCTAAATAAAACGACTACACTTACAGTTAACGTACACGCAAATGCATAAAAACGCATCGACAGAGATAGTGTCACAAAGCGAACACTGATAATCCGAATTATTAAAACGAGAGAGAAAAAAAAAAAAAGTAGAAAAAAAAAATAAAGACCAGAATGGATCTGGATCGTAATAAATATTACTTTTCGTAAACATAAAAAAAAAGAGAGAGAAAAGGTACTATCTCGCTAGTACGATAATTATACCTGTTTCCATTCAGCGTATAAAAATATCCGTGTAATTAGTAGTACCTACGAAAATCGTCACCCTAGTTTTTCGGATAAACTACACGCTAGAGCGTTTTTTCCCCAGCGTTTTTCCGTCGTTATTAAGATTTATGAAATCTATAGCATTCGATTTTCCTTTCTATTTTTCACGCTAACCGCTTAATTGAGCAAAAACAAAGAGAGAGGGTTAACGGACACTTTCATCATCGGTGTGTATTTCAACTACTCTACGTACGAAAGAGAAGAAGAAGCTTCGTCTGCAAGAAGGAGCAGTAGAATTTTCCAGGAGCATGAAAGAGAGATCATGAGAGCGAAATTAGACGAAAGAAGGGAGATATTACGTTAACAGACACCTTCACAACGGTTCCCTTGCAAATTCTCGCGAAGGTCTAATCTGTCGTCGGACAATCGTTTCCTTTCCTTTCCTTTGAGTATTCGCGACGAGCAGTAGAATCGTAAACGATAGCATGGCACCCTGAGTTGAAGAAGCACGGTTTGTGTAGAAACGCTATTTAAGTACTTAAAGGTGTCGAGACAACCTTATCCCTCGCGCGAATTTATCGTTGCTGCCCGATATGTTTCAAGGGCAGAGCGTTAACAGTTTGAACGCAGCTTCGTGGAATGTAGTTTGATCGAGGTATAACGATGTACTTAACCCATCAATAACCAAACGATGGTTCACGTACCATAACGTTACGAATATTTCATTCAATTTCATTCAATTGTACACAATTTTACACTCTGACTAGAAGAAATAGAGACGTGGAATTTCATTTCATAAACAATGTTGAGAAACCGATTCGAAGATGATCGAGAAAGAATTGCAGATCAAATGTAGCGACATTGGTCCTCGATGGGTTACTTTTGAATAACAAGTTTGCAACAGCGGCAAACTCTCTTTCCCACTTCCCATTTTCTTCCCGTTTTTTCTGTTACGAATGCGACGCTCTTGTTGGATCCTTCTTGACAACCGACACGCCTGTCGAGTTTGTCACTTTGTAAGCGTTGCCCTTCACCTCGGCCGGGTGTTTGTGAGTACTCGTCGATGATTTCCTCGGAGGTTTGGTGATCTGCGTGGTGGAGAGACCACTGACCGGGTACTTGTTCCTGCTGGATGTTCCGCCACTGCTGCTTCTCGTGCCGTTTTTCACGGACGTCGAGGAGGTCGCCTCGGCGGGATGCTTCGGCATCACGAACGCTTTCGTCTGTTTCAACAGATACCGATCGTTGCACAACGCCGATATCAGAGGCAAGTCGAGGTTACGACTCTTCTCGCGAAGCGTTCGTATGTCCAACATTCCGTCTTCTTTCCCTTCCTCGCACTCCTCCACCGCGGTTGCTTTCGGCGTCTTCTTCGGAGAGGAAGACGATGAAGAGGCGGATGGAAGTGGTTGATTCTTCTCGAGGTTCTGCAATTAAATAGAATGTTTCTTTCATCATTATTGTTATAGGAGATGGTTTGTGAAGTGAAACCTTGATCGTGGGAATTAATAGGAAGATAAATGTGTTTAGATATTGGAACAACCTGTAGAGAGAGGCTATTAATTTATAAATTAATCTAAAGATTTCCATGGGAATACTCGAGACATTTTATTCTACAAAACGCGATTATACTTTTCTAACAAATTGTTAATTTTCAAACGTGCTTATCTCAATTATGATTTAACAAAAATTATATTTTCACTTTGACACGCTCATTGTATGTGCAACAATGATTTTGCTTGGTTTTTTATTAATCAAAGATTCTGTATGGTGTAGCGCAAGGAGAGAAAAGAAGAGATCAACGTCGCAACGAAATACCTGTATCTCGTAAGGCGGTGGCGGCGGAGGTGGCGGAAGTCGGCGATGCTTCAACTGCGGCAGTGACTGCAGCTTGGTGGTGGAAGGCGAGTCGAAACACTTCAATATGTTCTCGTCGCTTCTCGTCCTGGAGAACGCGTGCAGCGTGTGCGGATGAGCTGGGGCTGGCGGTTCGCGTCTAAGACTCTGACTTCCTGCCGACGAACAAGTAGCTCCGCTATATAGTGAGCTTGTACTAGCAGCGTAGTGGCTGCTCAGGTTACTATGCGGTAAGTAATTGTTAGAGCTCGTGTCGCTGCTACTAAGGTTTTGATTCGAAGCGTATTTCGTGGGTGACGAGAACGAGGAGCCAGGAAGGTACGGTGTGCTACGATACATTACTAACGATTTATTGTTAAAAGAGGGATAAGGCGGGGGAGGATAGGCGGCCATAGCAGCCAGAAGCGATCCCTGCTTCGCGTCGATGTACTCTTGCTTCGACACCGCGGGATCCTTCAAAGGGAACATCACGTAATCGACGTCTGAGTACAGTTGCTGCTTGTACTGTTCGATCTGCGACCTCGCAACTTGACTCGTGTAAACGGTAGCCAAGCTGGGCGGTGGCGGCGGAGGTTGTCTGGGATGTACCATGGGTGGTGGAGGGGGTGGCGGGGGCGGCGGTGGTGTTAAGTAAGGCAACAAAACCGGACCACCTCGTGAAGCGTGTACATCCAGGTAATTGTTCGGTCCAACGACAAGAGCCGCTACGGGAGCGTGGACCGGCGTGGGTTTCATTTTGTCACCGGGATATGTGGGTGGTTGAATTCTGGGTGGCGGTTTCGGGGCGATCGTAGCAACGTCGTTCACGTTCGCTTGACTGCCGCTGGTTGTCTTCGAAGCTGCCAGAGTGGCGTTCATCATGCTGTTCGCCAAGCTAGTTTGTAGCTTGGTCGACGTCACCCTTGACACGATCTCCTCGCTGGTGGCTGGATACAGCTTGGAGATTGCTTCCTGTCGAGTGACCTCCGAGACCTCGGGATATGGCGGCGGAGGTGGTGGTTCTCTGGGCGTTACCGCGTCGTTTCTCGGAGGCGTAGGCGGTGGTATCTGAATTCTTTCTCTGGGCGAGGTGTAAGGTGGCGGTGGCGGTGGATCGGTTCTTCGCGGTGGTAGAGGTACAAACTCGCCGCGACTAGCGTTATACGGTGGCGGAGGCGGCGGTTCCCTCTCGATGTCGGATATGTTGGGCCGCGGTGAGTTTATCGTTGCGTAGTCCATGCTCACTGGGTAAGGAGGTGGTGGTGGAAGTTGTCTGTCGCTGTCGGTTCTTGGTGGCGGCGGTGGTGGAGGCATGGTAACGTAATCGCAATCGGAATCCATGGAGTTGCTGATGGTTTTCCGAGGAGGATAACGCCCGACTATCAAGTCGGAAAGTTCGTTGGCTGACAGCAGAGGTCCGACGCTGGATGGATCACTGCCGTCGCCTCTAAAACTTCCTACGCTGAGTATGCTGTTACTACGTGATCTAGAATCTTCCAGCTGCTGATCCAGAGCTGCTGTTATGGTCGACACAACGTTACCAACGTCTTCGTCACCTTTGCAGATGCTGTAAATTGGTTCCTGATCCTCCGCGCCAACATCTTCTATGTAAACGTCGCTTGTTTCGGATCTAAGGCCACTGTGTATGGTATAAAAACCGGACGTTACGGACGCCTCGTCGGTCGTTGACTGGACGGAACTTAAGGCACACACGTCGCTCGCCGCGGAAGATCCGTTCGCGTCACCGGTTGGTGAATATAGATCCGCCATTCTTTCATCCTGCATCTCGCTACTTCTCAGAGTATATACTCCACTAGTTTCGCTTGCTATATCAGTGCCTGCAAAGAAAATATTTTTATCTAATCAGTGTTATATATAATTAATAAAGACATAGAAATTTGTTTAGTTGAAATTAAATATTCTGTGAAAGAAATATGGCAAAGATGTATGATTTCTTTGTATCAAAAATAAAAATTCAAAAGAAGTGAACTCTAGAATACTTTCTTCCTTGACAAATTCGTCAATTAAATTTTGTTTAAATTTTTCTTTTTTTTTTCAAAAAAGAATCTTCTCCAATGTACACAGAAGTAGATCAATTTGATCTGTAGATTGAAACCAAAATAAATTACACATATCTAGAAACAACAATGATCTTTTCCTTATAATTTTATCATATATATAACAATAATGTATTTTTTTTTTTTTTTTTTTTTTTTTT